ACAAATTAGCCAGGCATGGTGGTGCGTGCCTATAATCCCAGCTACTCGGGAGGCTGAGGCAGGAGAATTGCTTGAACCCAGGAGGTGGAGGTTGCAGTGAGCCAAGATCACGCCACTGCACTCCAGCCTGGGCAACAAGAGTGAAACGTCTAATTAATATATATATATATACACACACACACACACATATATATATACACACAAAAATTAGTGGGGTGTGGGGGCATGCGCCTATAGTCCCAGCTGCTCAGAATGCTAAGGTGGGAGGATTGCTTGAGCCCAGGAGGTGGAGGTTGCAGTGAGCATGATTGTCCCACTGCACTCCAGCCTGGATGACAGAGCACGACCCGGTCTTAAAAAAAAAAAAAAAAAGAAGAAGAAGAAGAAGAAAGTAAGAAACTGTGGTGTGGCAAGACCACAGAGCTTAAAATAGGGAGTGTTGGGAAGGAAAGCTGGAAATAACAGGAATTTGGAAGCCTCCCTCACTCAATGGGGTGAGCAACTGGCTCTTCAAATATGCTGGCAGCGGGGCACGGTGGCTCACGCTTGTGTTCCCAGCGCTTTGGGAGGCTGAGGTGGGTGGATCACCTGAGGTCGGGAGTTTGAGACCAGCCCGGCCAACATGGTGAAACCCCGTTTCTACTAAAAATACAAAACATAGCCCGGCGTGGTGGTGCTCACTTGTAATCCCAGTTTCTTGGGAGGCTGAGACAGGAGAATAGCTTGAACCCAGAAGGCAGAGATTGCAGGTTCATGCCATTCTCCGTATCAACTATAATGGTTCCTGTCAAGTCTGTGACCGTGCCATAATTTATTTGAATAATCCCTTAGTGATGGTCACTTAGGTGTCCCCGTCTTTGGTTTTGCACATGCAGTCCTGCGGGGAGTCTGGTACCCTCATCTCTCTGCATCTTTGCCCAGGTGCAGGTGGCTCTGCAGGCTACGTCCCTGGAAGTGGAACCGTTTAGGCAGAGGCTGCGTGCACTCAGAATGTCCAGAATGTCACAGGTTCTGCCTGGCTTTCCTCCCAAGAAGTCGTGGGTAGAATGATGCCACTAGTGCAGGGGCTCTCAGGCTTGGCAACCCTGGCATTTGGGGCCAAATCATTCTTGTTTTTTCTTTTTTTTTTTTTTTTTGAGACGGAGTCTTGCTCTGTCACCCAGGCTGGAGTGCAGTGACGCAGTCTGCAGGGCTCACTGCAACCTCCGCCTCCCAGGTTCAAGCGATTCTCCTGTCTCAGCCTTCTGAGTAGCTGGGACTATAGGCGTGTGTTTGCCATCACACCTGGCTAATTTTTGTATTTTTAGCGGAGACAGGGTTTTACCATGTTGCCCAGGCTGGTCTCAAACTCCTGACCCCAGGTGATCCGCCCACCTCAGCCTCCCGAAGTGTTGGAATTACAGGCGTGAGCCACCGCGTCCAGTCTCGGATCCGTCTTTACGTGGGGGGCCATCCTGTGCATTGTGGGACATTGAGCAGCCTCCCTGGCCTCCGCCAAAATGTTTCCAGTTGTTAACCAATGTCCCCGGGGTGGGGGGAGTCACCCCTGCTGAGAGCCAGTGCCCTAGCGGCTTTGCCATAGCGCTGGGGGAGATGGGGGCTGTGGTCACATCCAGGTGGACACTCACCAGCTGTACGGCCTTGGGCAGGCAACATCACCCCCACACACCCTCCTACTTCCTTGTTTGTAAAATGGGACAACCAGCCGCTCGGGAGGCTGAGATGGGAGTATCACTTGAGCCTGGGAGGTGGAGGCTGCAGTGAGCCATGGTGGTGCTCATTCCAGCATGGGCGACAGAGCGAGACCCTGTCTCAAAATAAAATAAAATGGGATGAGCAGGAGCCGCCTCCCTCGCCGGGAGTGAAGAGGGCGAGAACGCCAGCAAAGTGCTCAGCCCGGAGCTGGGGCTTAGGAGGAGGGTCTGGTAGCTGCGGGGTTGCCTTGTCCGCGCTTCTGTTGAGGGAGTGATTGCGGGGGTCCCAAGGACCGACGTGGGCTTCATCTGCAGCTGTGTTCCTTCTCCTTTCCCATCCTGGTTTTTTCTGGCCATGGCCTTGTTTCTCCCATGTTGGAGTGTGTGTCTCCTTTGCTCTAGAAGCCAGATTTGAGCTCCGCAGCAGGAATTCTCTTGTGAGTTAGTGTGTCCAGTTAGTTGCTACTTTCTCGCTACCACCACCAGATGCTAAATTGGTGGGACCCAGGTGGGAGCCACACCAGGGCCCTCTCTGGCCACCCTAGGCCCCCCGGGCCTGCACGGCTGCCCTGCACTGCTCAGCCAGGCTCCACCTGCCCACTGCCCGAGCTGCCCATGGGAAGGACACAAGGACAGACCCGTGTGGCCTTCCCAGGTGGGTGCGTGCTCTCTGTCGGGACGGGGCAGGTTGGCCACCAGCTGTTGACCTTGCTTTGAACTTGTTTACTGCTATGTGAGTTCAGGGAATGACATAATTCCTGTCCAAGCTCCCTGGACTAAATTTAGACCCCAGGAAAATAATTTTCCCTGGGTGAGTTCCAGCACCGCGGCTCCCAGAGAATCGGCTGCCGCCCTGAGCTCCTGAATGCTCTGTGGGTTCCAAGGCCGGTTCTCACCAAGCTCTGGGGTCTGGCTCTCAGGGGAGGCCTCTGCAGGGCACCTCTCTGCCCAGCATGGGTCAGCGTGAGTCTCTGGGCAACTGGCCACCTTCATGATTTCTAAGCCTACATCTGGGGCACCCACCTCCCCCACCACTCTGCAGAGCCTGCTGTGCTGGGCAGAAAAGGAGCTGTGGTCAGAGATGCAAAGCCACAGATGGGCAACTTTCCTAGGTTGGTAAAAACTTAATGTTTATGTTAAAGCAAACATGTATTATGAAATAGAGTGTAACATTAACATGATTTCTCTCTCTCTCTCTTTCTTTTTTTTTCTTTTGAGACAAAGTCTTACTCTGTCACCCAGGCTGGAGTGCAGTGGTGCGATTTTCGGCTCACTGCAACCTCTGCCTCCTGGGTTCAAGTGATTCTCCTGCCTCAGCCACCCGAGTAGTTGAGATTACAGGCACCCGCCACCACACCCAGCTACTTTTTGTATTTTTAGTAGAGGCAGGGTTTCACCATGTTGGCCAGGCTGGTCTCGAACTCCTGACCTCAAGTGATCTGCCTGCCTTGGTCTCCCAAAGTACTGGGATTACAGGCATGAGCCACCGTGCCTGGCCTGGCCCCTTTCTTTTAAAAAATAAATAAATAAACTAGAGATGAGATTTCACTATATTTCCCAGGCTAGTCACAAACTCCTGAGCTCAAGCGATCTTCCCGCCTTGATCTTCCAAAGTGTTGGGATTACAGGTGTGAGCCACTACACCTGGCTGATTTTTCTTTTTATTGAGATGAAATTCACATAAAATTAACCATGGTAAGTGAATAATTCACTGACAGTACACTCACAAGGTTGTGCAACCACCACTTCTCTCTGGTTCCAAAATGTTTTAATCACCCCAAAAAGAAATCTTGCACCCAGCAGCAATCATTCCCCACTTCTCCCTTCCCCCGCGACGGTGGGTCCCCACCCCAGGCAACCACGAAACTTTCTGTCTTCATGGGTTCGTCTATTCTGGGCTTTTCATATAAATGGAATCATATACTCTATGACCTTTTGTGTGTGACTTCTTCTCACTCAGCATGATGTTTTCTTTCTTTTTTTGTTGTTGTTGTTTTGTTTTTTGTGGTTTGTGTTTTGTTTTGTTTTGGAGACAGAGTCTTACTTTGTCACCCAGGCTGGAATGCAGTGGCATGGTCTTATCTCACTGCAACCTCTGCCTCCTGGGTTTATGGGATTCTCCTGCCTTGGCCTCCCAAGTAGCTGGGACTACAGGCACATGCCACCACATCTAGCTAATTTTTGTATTTTTTTAGTAGAGAGGGGGTTTTGCCATGTTGGCCAGGCTGGTCTCAAACTCCTGACCTCAGGTGATCCGCCCACCTCAGCCTC